GTGGAGATACATTGTGTCATGGAACAGATCCACTGTGTACTGGGAGAAATGCTGTCATGTTTCCTGGCTTATAAAATCTATCAGTCCCAAAGATGAGAACTCTGGTTTCTATTACAGACAACATCTCAGATTGAGATAGGATTTTCCAAACTGCCACATAAAAATAAAATATACATATAAAAAATAAACTTACATAACTTCTAGGTCTTTTCTTTGAGGTGTTAGAACTGTTACTCAACCAAAAGGCTTGAATGTTTTAAAATAATTATTTCTATTGCAAACAAGTGGTATATATCTTAAGGAAAATTTCTGCTCTTAAGGGAAATTAGCAAAAGAACATTCTAAATTTACATCAATTGCCAATAAAATGTAACTGAAATTAAAAATACAGTGAATTAACATTCACTGAAGGCAATGAATTTGTATTTTATATTGGATCATTGCTAACAAGCTAATAAGCAGCACTTTGGAAAACTTCCATCCCAAAAATATTCAGTGTTTCAAATATGCTTTCAAATTTCATAATTATCTCTTACTGTGGCTTTGAATGGTAGAAACACAGAGCTGACTCAGATACTGAGCATTTACATCAGATATTTAACCTGATAACATTGTAAAATTCTCTTTTATTTAAGAAATTTATGATGAACCTCAGAAAATATTTATTTCCAAAAACTGTAACAGCACAAAATAAAATATGTTTGAATGAAAAATACTTCATTATAAACTTCCGTTGAGCAATTATTTAAGCTGGAGGGTTGCTCATTTCTTGGAAAAATGTGTATCCTAATCACAAGCGAAATCTTCAAGTTTATATACCATTAAAGGAGAAAACGTCAAAACTACCAAGCAACAGAACCAATGCATTGGGCTTTTTTTTTTTTCCAAGTTGCTATTTAAGAGAATGTTACAATTCATAGCTTATAGCCTAGATGACCAAAGTGAAATAGGTACCATTGAGCCAGGGAAGTCAGGAGCAGAAAGGTATCTTTAACTGAGAAGCAAACCAGTTGTTCACTTTGCTGTTATTGTGAAGATCCATTACTTACAGCAGGCTTCCAGGCCAAGATGCAACAGCCTAGCATGCTTTGTAAATTGGAATACTTGGGATATTATGCGTGTTTCCTTCGTTTGGGCTATGTAGCTGTACTGCACCGAGAGTCTTAAATGCTCTGCTTTATTCCTGTGTAAGGATACTAGTACTTTCTTCAGTTTCTGGTAAACTCTGGATATCAGTGACATTTTCCGATGTGTTGAAATGTACTATTTTCATATACTGCATTAAAATTTTCTTCCTTTGATTCACATGGGAGAATGGTCCGTAGTGATGGTAGTACACAGAAAATAATTACGTGATTTTTAAAAGATAAACAGATATTTGAAATTGATGTATCTTCAGGTCAAGGACTGCCTCTAATTGAATGTTTATAAAGTGCCTAATACAATCAGGCCAGGAGCTGGTTGACTGCTATGCATGCCACAGTCCAAATATTTAATAAGAATAACAACAGTTCTGTAGTCAATTTGATCTCACTTTTGATATTTACAAGTGTTTTCCTAACACACACTGCAGATTTCTGCAATTTGAAGGGATTCAGGCTCAAATTCTCAGTCTGTTTGATTCTATCATATCCATCTGCATCTATATCTGTGCAGGCTGCAATGTGTGCCCTACTCTTATACCAGTATTGGGCAGCAGAAGTGAGCACAGCTGCGGGAGGTGTGCCCAGGTAGAGGAACTCCTTCACTTAGTGCAGGGTTCCTGGAGGAGGTAGGTAGGTTGAGAAATATCAAGGACAGTGAGAGAGAGACTACTGGAATTGCACCCTGCCTTCTCTGAGACAGGCACAACAGGCAGACAGGATGTGTGATATGGAGATTTCCCTATCCTTTCTCCGCATGGGTGAGCACAGTGACTCGAGAGGTAGGGGGTAATGGTGACAAGTTCCTTCGCTTGTGCAAGAGACCCATCTCATCTGGGACTACTCCGCCTTCCCAGGTGCCCCTATACAATAGATAGAAGGCTCTGGAAGTGGTACCAAACAATAATGGGCATGATGGTTCAGCTAGCATGAAGGTGTCACAAATTGAACTGTGCTCTGCATCAAAACTGCTTCTAGAATGAAAAAAAGAACTTGCCATTGTAATAGGAAAGTCCTTTCAGCAGGGAACAGAAGGCTTAATATGCAGACTGGACCCACTTCTTTGGAAAGCCTGATGCCTCCCTGGGGCCTGGGTTAAAGATGTGAAGAGAAAGCTTCCTATCCTGGTACAACCCTCGGATTACTATCCATTGTTTATTTTTTAGGTAGGCAGTGATGAAGTCTAAACAAGAAGTCTGAGGACAATTGAGAGACTTCAGGGCCTTGGGACAGCTGGTTAAGGGATCAAGAGTGGGATCAGTCCCTTCCAGTTGCAGAGAATGATGAGGGAAGAAGCAGGAGGAGTCAGCAGATCAATACCTGGCTCTGAGCCTGATGTCACTGGAAGGATTTGGAGTTTTTTGATCATGGGTCAATTTAAATGACATGAGGCCTGCTGGTACCTGTGTCAAAATGTCTTCTTTGCCTCAGTGTTTAGGAGTAAAACCAATTGTTCTTGGAATATCCCATCCCCTGAGCTGAAGATATGGATGTGGAGCAGAATGAAGCCACCATAATTGAAGAGGAAATGGTCAGGGACCTGCTGCACCACTTAGACAGAGACAAGTCGATGGTGTCAAATGGGATCCACCCAAAAGTTCCTCCTAGGGGTAGCTGGACAGCCATTTCCACTTACATGACACACTACATGCCTCAAAATAAGGTTTCTTATACTCTAGGACAGCTTCTGCAGTCAGGAAGAACTATTCCTGGACGTGGGTACAATTTGTTGGTTAAGGATTAAGAAGCTGTAATTTCTGTCAATGATAATTTTTATGTCATTTAGTTAATTATTAGTGTGGGTATGAATAATCGGTTTTATTAATTTATATTAATTCATTCATACAAGTGAATATAAATATTCATTCATGTTTTTATGAATGACATAATTGTTGTACTTAAAATACAAGTGTTAATGATACTTTCCCTACAAGTTCTGTTAGCTACTATTTATGTGTATGACAATTTAGTAATGAATAAATCTGTATGTTGGAACCCCAGAGGTTCCTTTTCCAGTCACTCCTTTACGAAAATGAATAATGCCTGTTTCTCTGTAAGAGAATGTTTTCCTACCTGAAACTTGGACCTAATCTTTAAAATTGTGTCTGGGAATCTCTCTTTGCTAAAACAGCCTTAGAACATCTACCCAGAAAAGCATATTTTGGAATAGCCAGCCTCTTTGCTGGAACTTAATGTGAGCATGCTGCATTGGTGGGCTTCCATTCGACACATTAATAAACTCAGAGACAATATGAAATTAACTGCAGCCTGGTGACTACAATAGAGACTAGCAAATAAGTAAGGAATTCAGTCTGTATTTTAATTTAGCAGTACTTCTCTAACTTGGAATCACTATGATGTGCAATAGTACTTTTATACTTTGGGCTCTCTAAGTGTTTTCTAACTGTAGTTTCAATATGCTGTTCACAAGCATGCTAGGAGGCATAAAGGGACCTTATTTACTAGTTGATTTTCAAGAGTTGTCTCTACTTATTGACTCAATCAGTCTGCCCTGCCCTTGCTTTGGAGCTCTCACTCTGATTTTTATCACTCAGTAGACATGCAGTAAGAAGCAGAAGCGGGTGGGGTACAGTGCATTTGCTTAAAGAGATGGAAAAAACGACATTGCTCATGTGTGAGAATACTACTTCATTCCTTATGAAAAGACATTCCTGTGCACTGACAAAACTCAGCACCAGAAATACTGAATCATAGAATTGTAGAATCATAGAATGGTTTTGGGTTGGAAGGGGCCTTTAAAGGTCGTCTAGTTCCAACCCTCCTGCAACATCTTCACTCCTATTACTTTGGTTTGAAGAGGCAGTTCTTAAAGAAGTTGTTAGTAACTCATCTTCAAATTTTGGTGTGTTTTCTAAATGCTTATAGTTAATGTCATGCTATGATATGTTGAGTCACATATGTATATACTTTCATGATTATAAAACACAGAAATGAATATGAGCTTATCTTTTTCAATTCTTTCTCTGTGCAATGATCTATGTAAGTGGACAGAACACTGGAGAATTAGACCAATATGTAATAGAGTACCAAATTTGACAACTGCTTCCAGCTGCATTATTTCAGAGAAGCTTTTATAAATAGATGGATTTTGCAAGGAAAAATATGAAAAGCATGACTCATTTTTAATTATAAGAGCAAATGCAAAGTGCTTGCTTTTAGTAAAATTAAAAGAGAAGAGAAAATAAAGGTATTTATGAAATGTCAAAGTGTCATAAGATTAGAAGCATGACACTGAAAGCTAAGAGAAATATCTAAGTAGGCTAGACAAAATCTTTTTTTTTCAAGAGTGTTTTTCTTTTGGAAAAAAAGCCTACAAGGTTTTTTTTGTAGGCTTTTTTCTATAAACATTTGCTTCATTGTACTGATTCTCAGAATAGTAGGAATTGTTAGTTGAATGAATAAAATGATCGTGAAATAAATGAGTACAAACATACAAACACTAATTGTTGCACTAGAATGTATCTGTTGTGAACCTTTGCAGGTTGTCTTGCAGTTGAACAGTTCCACTGGCCCCAAATGGTACTTACTGAACATTTATTTTTCATTTGTTTGGACCTCACCAGTATTACACAGGCAGCATGAGGGAATAATGAGCTGCATTCTTTGGGTTACTGAAGAGTCAGCACAAATTGTGGGAACAAATAACAATCAGACAAGGCAGTGTTTTATAACATCAGGACTGCAATCCATCTTTCAAAGCTGGGCTAATAAAGGTCCACTTACAATCCCCGGCAGAGTACAGTTTAATTAAATTTGTCCATTAGAGGACTCCTCCCCCTCCCTCTACATTTTAGAAATTAATTCTACTTTCTGCCTGTTGTTCTTTTTGCATCACAGATGCACTGAACCTTCGTAACCGACGCGTCCTCATCAGCACACTGAAAATCCTCCAGCACCTGGTGGCATCAGCTGACATGGTGGGGGAGGCCTTGGTGCCTTATTATCGGCAAATTCTCCCAGTCCTAAACATCTTTAAGCATTTGAATGGTGAGTTATCCTAACAGACACTGTCTTTCAACTCCTAAGGTAAAAAGGGGCTTGAGACAGGGTTAATTAACAATGTAGTTAAGATTTATTACTGTATATAAACTCAAATCCATTTGGAGCTCTAAATAATGTAAACTCTCCCTCCTACTATTCCCTAAGGATGCACTGAAATTAACAATTTCATTTATTACTCCTTGCACGTACAGTTTATTTAACACAGTACAGAAGCACTGAAGCAGTTCTATAATCTTCCAATAATTAAATTGTAAAGTTTTGTAACAGTCTTTTGAATACATTAATAAATTGCAAAGGTTTTTTCCTCCCTCCAACACATTAGTTCAGTCCAGCTGTTTTATTCCATTCTGTATACACTCCACAAGCAATTCACTGCTACCAGAAGGTTTAGGAAAGATTAAAATTAAAATCAGACTAATTAATTTGAGGGTCAAGAGAACTCCTTGTTATAGAAAATTTCAAGTTACATAATATTTAGCAAAACAGTGGAGTTTGAAGTTACTACTGCACACTTAGGTTTTATTTTAGAGAACTTTAGAACTAATTTGTACATACAGTTAAGTATGTTGGTTTCTTTCTAGTGCATATCTCTATTGCCAGTCCCAGTCTTTAATAACTAGTACTATGAGTACTGTGTGCCGTGAATGCATTTACACCACAGTCACCAGCTGAAATCAACATGGTGTCTCTTGCTTTTGCCAAACTAATATCTAAAGTATTTTTCTCTAGAAAATCTATCTGTACTTATCTGTTCAATTATCTACCAAGTTACTGTATTTAAAATTTCTGTTACTGACTTGCAGCAGATGTAAAGAAATTTAATTCCTCATAATCTTTCGAAAGACATTTTTAATTAAATTCATGGCATTTTAGTAGTTCTTTGCAGGACTCCTTCCTATTATACTTTCTGTTTGCATTGCTATGGAAAATAGTACCTTATACTCACTCTTTAGTCGGTATAAGATTCACCTCAGATTGAACACATTCACCTCAGATTGCCTGTTCAAAGACTGACTTCAAGGTGCAAATGAAATTTAGATTTTAGATCCCTTTAAATACATGTGCATCTGTGACTTTGTTTTCCTTAGTGAGAAATATGAAGTAACATGACATTCCACAAATGCAGTGTAGTTCAGATGACAACTGTGGCTTTCTGGAAGTAGTGGGATAAAAGGTTATGAGTGTCATCTGTAGGCTGAACTTAAGTAATTTCAGTAGGGCTCCTTAGGAGTTGGAAGATTCCCCCTTAACAGATCTAATTTCAGTATCTGGCACAAAATAAGATGGTAAAAATGACTCTCATTGATTAATGAATATACCACACATGTTTTTTTCCAAGTTTCAGCCTGACGTAGCCCATAAATTCTCTTGACTAGGCTTTTCTACAGTGATTTCAGATGAATAATAGGGAAAGCTCATGTGTAACCAGGTACATAGCTTAACAAGGCATTAAACACAACCTAAATATATCTTCAGTTTTGATTGTATTGTGAGCAAAATAAACCATATTTTCAACATATTTGCATAAGATCTGTGCTCTGTAAGTTTGTGCCTATATAAAACTACACTAAATCATAGTACTTGGCACTGAAGAACTAAAATCCCAGCGAGAAGTGAAAAGTAATAGTGCAAAAATAATTAATTTTATTAAGTCATTACTTTTCTAGAAATAAAAGTTCCTAAATTTCAGTATTACCAGGAATGAAATGGATACTATTTGCAAGGCCTACCATATGAAACTGTTCAACTCATTCAGTATTTGCATGTGAATGATAGGGAATACCTCTGTCTCCTCCTGCCTCAAAAAGATTATATTTCATTTCTCCTTCACTGGTGGTTGACAGAAAAGCATGATCCCTTCTTCCTCCTTTCTATCAAAATAAGCTAATAGGCAACTGAGGTGCAGGTGTTTGCTCCCAGTTATAAGAAAGTGGTAGACTGATTCGGGCTATTTTCTCCACTGTTTGTTCATACAGGTGAAAAATGGGGTGAGTGGAGTGTACACTCTTCTTCCTTCTTTTCTGTATAGCTTGAAAAAGCAGAAACTGTGATACATCTTCCAGGAGTTGTATGAATTGCAATCTATTAAGTCAAACGCTGTGGAAGTTTGCCTCAAATTAAGTTAGCTGGAAGAAGCCATGTTTTAGTCATTGCCACATCACTAGATCAGTATCGATCTGATGAAAGCAACTCTTTCCCAAATTCAGCATCTGTGAATATCACTCTCACCAAACAAGCTCATTGTCAAGAGAATATTAGAGAAAACCCAAAAAAACCCTTCTGAACGAACAAAACAAACAAAATAAAACAAACCAAAACTAAAACCAAACGAACAAAAAATTGGTATTGATAAGAAATTAAGATCAACTTACTTTAAGTTCAACTTAACTGGTGACCAGTTCAGAACAAACCAAAATGATTCTTCATACAGTATGTGTGATGTGAAGCTCTGGAACTCCCAGCTCCAAATTCTTTAGATACCAAAGGTTTATATGGATTCAGTGGAGGCTCAGAAATATCATAAAAAAGAGTCTATTGCTTGTTTAATAAAACACATGGGTAATTGATATTGGTAATTTTTGTAAATTATAAAAAGAAGAGTATTGATAAAAAAAATTAAAACTTTTAATTATTGAAAATATCTAAAACATGCTCACCTATCTGAGTCATAAGATACAGGTTAAATTAAATCAATGCAACCTGAGTTATAAATGCCAGGGGGAAGATCCAATCCTCCTGAGATAGTCTATGTGAAAGCCACAGGAAAGAGTTCAATGAATGTCTGAAGAGTCTCAGTAGTGAGCAAGGGGCTTTTTGGTGCACAAAGCATATTTGGTGTGCCTGAATTTCTGCCCTCACTTGGAACTTAAACCCTGACTTGCAGCAGACATTTCTTTTTACTAGGGTTCCTGAGTGCCCTGTTGCAGAGCGTTAGAACATCAAAGAGCAAAGTTCTGCTGGTGATGCTGCCTTTCGTGTCTTTATTGGTGGAGACAGTGAGAGCATCCTCACCAGCTGGCCAGGATGTGCTCTGAAAAGGGCTTGAAGCTTTCTGTTGAAACGGTTAACCAGAGCCATAAGGGTGGCAGGAGGGCAGAAGAAGGGAACATGATATTCCAGTGACTGAGAAAGAGGAATACTGGTGAGATGTAGGAGCTGTTTGTCTAATCTCTGCAGACTGGGAGGGGACTAGCAGTCTCTAAGCAACCTTCCCAACATATGGTCTATTATGCACATTTGCTACTATATAATATAATAAACAATAAAAATCACGATAATACTTACTAAGTCATATTACAAATCCTGTAATGCCACTGTAGTTTAAACATGTAAGGTAAAAGTACTCTTATGAAACTCATTGAAATCTTGTCAAAGGGAAAGAAAATTCTACATAGACTCAAATGGAAGTGTTCTTCTTTTGCATCAAAACCTTTTTTTGTGTGTGCCTTACTTTCTAAGCTGTCTTTTATAAATCTGTGAACTATCTGGTGTAAATACAATATAAAAACAAATACAGTAAGTTTTCTCTTTTATGAAAGCAGACAGAGGAGAAAAATAAAATAAAATAAAAAAAAATAAAAAAGGGGACTCTTCAGAGTCTAGAGTATGCTATTAGGGTGCATTTATACCAGAGTGATGTCTGAAACAGAAACGTGTTCATTAAAAAGATTAGACCGTTAGGAACAGCAAAATTCTCTAGTTTAATTTACCTGACTGGTAAAGGAAGATTTCATTGATTCACTTTAACAACTATTTTATGCTGTCAAATCCAAGCAGTTTTAATGGCTGTATTAAATCAATTTATGTACAGAAAAATATTCTCATGTCATCCATTTATATTATTCAGTAGTGATCAAGAGCGGTTTTGCTGTAGAATAGATGAAAACAAAATATTATTAGGATTTACATGCCTCAGAGAGAGCAGTGTGGGGTGGCACTGTACTGTGGAAGGTACCTCTCCAGCATGGTAATTTGGTCTATGACTTGTTTCGGTCACTGTAAGGCAAACGGGGGTATTAGGGCAGACTGAAGCCCAAGTTTCTTTTGGCGGCAGTAAAAATGCTCTGACACTATCGATATCTTAAGGCTAACATAAACTTCTGATGGCCTCTACCTATGTATTCAATCCCTGAAAATAAAATTGTTAGAGGTATGACTGAGAATACCTCATGTAACTGTGTCATAGCATTCAGCCAAGTGTGAAGCCACACAGCAGAATTCTAATGCATGCTTTACAGCACCTGAACTTCACTCGGGAAAAATCATTCTTTTGTCTGAAAGGTACTTCATATGCTTTGGAGAACTCTACTGTACAAAATGCAGTAGTATTCCATGGACTCTAAAAGAAGAAGCAGGACTCATGTTTAATGGCAAGAGCTGTGACCACAGGTCCAAGTACTCCCTGTGTTGGAGTTTGAGTGTTTTCAGAACTGCTTGTGTATTCCAGAGTCAGTGATGCTCCTCCAAGTGGTTCATCGTTATTAGTAAGAAGCAGCAATTATCCTCTAATGTGATTGAGTATGTTCTAAAGAAAATCTCTTGTCCAGAACATTTCAACTGTTTGCTTCTTCCACTGGGAAATACAAAAGTCCTTTCACAAAGAATGTCAGTCCTGTTCTAAAATACTTTACATTTTGCCATCAACTTTTGCATAGTAATGTATTTGAGATTCTCTTAATTTCTCCTATGAACTTTGAGATTTCAGATTATTGTCAGACAACTTTGCTCAGGGTTCTCTGCTACTTAAAAAAGAGTAGATGCTGTAGCTTTTATTTTCTTTTTTCTTTTAAACTGAAAATGGAGATTCCCACAGAATTAGTTGATTCATGGTTGAGATTTGAATAAAAACCACCTAATGCTATAAGATTATTGATAAAATAAACCATGTTAGTATACTAGTCCTATCAGAGCAGTAACATAAACTGTGTACTAAATCCAGTTCTTATGCTTCGTTGTGACACTTACTCTTCCTATTCCTATTCCTA